ATTTACTCTAATCCAAAGTGAGATTGATCCAAGGAGAATCAAATTCTATAATGAGAAATCAATTCTCACTTAAGTTGTCAAAAATTTTAAATTACAGCCATGAAATGCTAGAAAGGTTCAGCCTTTATAGTATTTTTACAATCCTAACTTGTAAAACAACCCAACAAATCGGAGAACTTTAGATTTATTGAATATTTCAAAGCTTGTTAGAGTGAGAGTCAGCTATAGTTATGTTATAAGATCAGCTTTCCAATATAGCTACACCATCTTTAGTTTGGAAGTTGATTTAGACTTGAATCTTGGGTGCGAACTACAACTCTAGGAGCTGTATATAGTGGTCTCTATCTCAGGTACATTCAGTTGAATTGTTAAAGTCAAATTTAGTCCAATCCAGAGCTAGATCAATCTAAGGAGAATTGGATTTTTTTAATGAGAACTCGATTCTCACTTACTTGTCTGTCAAAAATTCTAAATTACAGCCATGAAACGTTATAACAGTTCAGTCTTTACAGTATGTTTGCAGTCCAAAAAGCAATACCAACTTGTAAAACAGCCCAACAAATCTAGAGAACTTTTGATTTGTTGCATATTGTCCAAGCTTGTTAGAATGCAAATTGGCTACAGTTTCGTTATAAGATCAGCTTTCCAATCTAATTACGCCATCTCCAATTTGGAAGTTAATTTAGGTTTTGATCTTGGGTGTGAATTATCACTCTAGGAGCTGCATATAATGGTCTCTATATCAGGTACACTTAGTTAAATTATTAAAATCAACTTTGTTCCAATACGGAGCTAGATCGGTCCAAGGAGAATCAAACTTTTCAATGAGAACTTGATTCTCACTTCCTTAGTCTGTCAAAAATTTTAAATTAATGCCATGAAATTTTAGAGAGGTTCAGGCTTTATAGTATTTTCGCAGTCCAAAGAACAATCCCAACATGTAAAACAGCCTAACAAATCTAGAGAACTTTCGAAGTAATCCATGAGGGAACCAGTTTGGTCAAGGAGTCTAAAAGCAATATGCTTGTGAATGCTTATGAGCTATTCAAAATGAAATCTCATAAAAACATTACTAATATGTTCACAAGATTCATAAATATTATGAATGGACTCAAATCCCTCAAGAAATCATATCCTAAAGAAGAGAAAATGAGAAAAAATTTAACATCTCTTCCTAAGGAATGGAAAATTAAGGTCACAACCATCCAAGAATTTAGAAGTCTAAACTCACTCACAATGGATGGGTTGATTGGGTCTCTTCTCACATATGAGATAGAACTAAAGGCTCAATTTAGAAAGAGTATAAATACAAATATGTACAGTGCAAATACATACAAAATAATACAAAATTCAAGGTTTTGTACTTTACAAATTTGTATTTGTACTCCTTCCAAACTAAGCCAAAGGAAAAAGAAAAAGAATGAGGGCTACAAGAGCAAAAACATTTCCTTTATATCTGCTATAAGAGAAAAGGAAGAAGTAGAATATTGTAGTGACAATGATGAAGGCCTACCTCTACTCTTAAGAAGATTCTTAAGCTTCTTGGAAACAGAAGTAAAAAGTTTACATACAAAGGCTTGTAGAAAAGCCTACTTGCTATGAATGTAGGAAGGAAGGAAGATTGCCCAAATCTCAAAAAGAAGAAAACACTAAAATCCACTTGGGACGAGTCCAACTAAAGTGATGAGGAACCGGAGGAAAGATAAGCCAATCTTCGCTTCATTGTTTAGGATGAAGGGTTAAGTACTATCTTCTCAACTTTATGTTCTGATTTTGCTAAAGATGATCTTATTAATCCAAGCATAACCCAACATCTTAGGCAGGGCTTGGGATTGGATGTGCTGAGCTTTGTAGCCCAATTTTTATGTAGAATTTATGTAGTATGTATATCATAAAATGTTGAACGGGCTCAAATTGGTCGGGTTGGGGTTGGGCTACCCGAGGCCTCAACCCAAGTCCATGTTGAATTTAAGTAATTAGATTTGAATTTTTTGGCCTAAGCCCAACTTGAAGTTCAAAAACTCAAGCCCAACTTGTGCAAATGCTTGATTAAGCTAAGTCAGGCTCAGGTTTAACCCACCCAAACTATACCCTAGCTCCGTTTGCCTCAATAAAATGAATGGTCCGAAATTCTGGACACTTTTAAACAGTCACCAACTTTTTTGAATAGAAGAGGCTTGGGTTTGGGACTGTTCAGTTTTTTGTCAACATTGGATGGTTGATAAAGAGAATTAGATGACATTCGAAGGTCATTTTTGACTTTTCAAATGTCGCTTAACAGCTGATTAATGGACTGGTTAACAACAGGTACTGGATTGTCAGATTTTGAAAGTTCGGGTACTAGATTGTTGCATTTTAAAGTTTGGGGACCAAATTGCCACTCGAGCCAAAGTATAGGGTACTGATCGGGAATTTTCCCTATAAATTAGGGTAAATTACAGATAAGTGCCCTATACTTTGGGGGTAGTGACAGATAGGTACATGAACTTTAAATTGCAATACTTGAGTACCTTAAACTCTTAAAATGATCTCAAAAATACATGAGAAGGGTATTTTTGACAATATATAATGCTTAATTGACAAAATACTAACAAATGAACCCAAGTATCTATTTTTGAGAGTTCAAGGTATTAAGTATTGCAATTGAAAGTCACTACCCCCTATAATTTACCCTATAAATTATAAATTACAAGAAAAACAACTGATCATTATATATCAGTAACTATAAAAGAGTTTTGGTCCTATTGGGTTCCGAATAGTATGAACTAGTTCTGGCCCAACCAGTTTGGTAAATTTAATTGTTTCTATCATGTAGCTTCACCCAATGACAGGTGTAGTTGTACGAAATTCTCATGGTATTTCCATTGCCGTTGCAGCAAGGCTATGTACAGAGGGGTGCATATTCTGCTAGAGGTCACGGAATTAAGAGTAATCTATTTTATTTATTTATTTTTTGGTAATAATAGGAGGAGATACACAAGATCAGGGTAGCTCGACTCCCAACATCATACAAACAAATTAAAACTAATTCACTAGGAAGGGCATGGGCATGAAAATAGGAGAGGATTTCATCTATTGGATAGGATAGAGCTTTATGCACCAGCCAATTTGCAACTTATTTTGCTTCCCTAAATGAATGCCTATACTAGGCAGAAACTTTAACGTCTTGATCAGCCTCGAATATTCCTCGTGATAGTCTTCAATTTCCATGCGATCTGATATTGACACTTGAGAAAGGAGATCATCGATCAGTAGAGAGTCACCTTCAATGCAAACTAGATTATTCTTAAAATTGAGAGCGATATTATGGACTTCCCAAGCTGCTCAAACTTCAGCAAGATTAATAGATCTAACTCCAATAAATTTTGATCCTCCTTCTAAAACTTCCCAAAATGATTTTTAGCAATGCAAGGAATTGAGCAAGCCCCATCCTCATTTCTAGGACATTTCAACTTAATGGCTCTCCAACATTTAGGCATAGAGAGAATTGATTGAGGACTAGCAACCTTATTAATCTCAGAAAAAAAAAAAATTAAAGCACATTAAACCAAAATAGGTGAAGAGAGACATTTATTATTGAAAATTTTGTTATTTCTATATTTTCCAAATTAATCATCCAAAGAATAACGCAACATTTTTCAAGTAAATTTGGACCCTCCATTTTAATTAAGTAATTATACAATTTTTAAAAGCATGATCAAGATCCTTTAATTCACCCAAAAAATACAAGCTCCATCAATATTCATTCCCCTTCATAAGAGAAAATCTCTAGTTGGGAGACTATGATAAAGCATTAAGAAGATAAAGATCTTATTTTTTGGAGAAACATTAAGGCCCCACACTCTACTGATAGCCAAATTAGGTTCCACCGACCCTCTAGCGACAACACAAGCCTCGTTATAGGCTGATCTAATAGAAAAGTTCCCCTTGGGGTCAAGCTTCCAAATCATTTTATCTCCTCCAGAGGATGAAAGAAGGAAAGTGGGTTTAATTTTATTTCACACCAGTTACGAACTTGGTCTTCTCTTCAAAACATTCTATCATGATCAATGATTCACTCACTTTAAAGTAGTGGGGATAAAATTTATTATTTCAAAAATAGACGAGGCATCTACCTATTTATCCTTTCAGAAATTAAGAGTAATCTCTGTGCATTCCTTGGAGCTGCGCATTTTGATGGTGAGCAAGAAAAATCTCGCTTTGAATGTTAAGATCTAGCAACCTGTGTTGATAAAAAGTTGGGAAAACTCCCGATCAGTATCTTATACTTCGGCACAAGTGACAATTTGGTCTCTAAACTTTAAAATGTGATAATCCAATATTTGAACTTTCAAAATGTGACAATGCAATACCTGTTGTTAACCAGTTCGTTAATCAGCCGTTATGTATATTTGAAAAGTCAAAAATACCCTTCGAGTGCCATTTAATTATCTTTATCAACCATCCAAACGTTGACAAAAAACTGAACAGTTCCAAATCCTAGCCTCTTCTATTCAAAAACGTTGGTGACTGTTTAGAAGAATTTAGAATTTGAGACTGTTTATTTTATTGTCAATATTTGGATGGTTGATAAAGAGAATTATATGGCATTCTTAGGACAGTTTTGACTTTTCAAGTGTCACTAAACAGATGATTAATGGACTGATTAACAACAGATACTATATTGTCACATTTTGAAAGTCCGGATACTGAATTATTACATTTTAAAAGTTCCGATACTGGATTGTCACATTTTAAAAGTTCGAATACTGAATTGTTACATTTTAATTCGGGGACCAAATTGCCATGCGAGCCAAAATACAGGGTACTGATTTAAGAATTTTCTCTAAAAAGTTTTAACTTAAGAGACTTTTAGTCAAATATAAAGTTTATTTCATTCGTAAAAGAGAAAAACAGGAGGATGATAATGGCTAGCTATTCCTGGCATTTATTTCTATTACATACATTGAGGAGCTGTTCCCTGGCATTCATTTCTATTACAGACACACATATAGTAGCATTCAAATGACGGCAGATGTATCTTCGATGGGAACGAATTCCTGTATTGGATTAATATTGCTCCAGGTAAATGCCACAGGGCTCTTGACTTGGTGCACTCCATCTGTCCAGACAATCCAACCGAACGCCGGTGTGGTATCACCAGTTTGATAGGCTAGGCTGCTAAATGTGACTCTGTATTGCAATATGGGATTTCGTGCATTGAACACAAGTGAACTGGGGGTCACACTAATCCCAACAGACGGAGGGCCATAAATTTGAGACACATACACTACGTTAGTCGATTGTCCGACGTTTCTCACTGCCCTGTAGTACTCTACAACCTCACGATCAGAGTTAAATACTACAGAGAAAGATGGATAGTTGAGATAACCTGGATTTGGAAAGCCCTGGGTTGCGCAATTCACGACTAGTGTTGGATCTTGGATCATATTGGCTATTAAATTGCTGCTATATCCGATGGAACAAAGGAATCCAATATAATCATATATGCCCATATCATAAACGAGGCCTGGATCGTGGACTTTGACTGCATCGACATGTCCACTTCCAAATTGGAACGGTGTGGCATCGTTGCCGGTGCCGAAATCTTTAATGTTTTGACCTGAATTGTCCTTGTTGATTGTCGTCGTCATCAGGGCCGATTTTACTGCAGCTGGGCTCCATTGAGGATAGAGCTTACGGAGCATGGCAGCCAAGGCACTGACGTGTGGACAAGCCATGGAGGTTCCTGATATTATATTGAACTTGACGTGTCTCGGGTCGATCTCAAATGGTAATTGCGTTGGGCTGCTTTCCCATGTCCAAGCTGCTAAGATGTTCACTCCTGGAGCTATCAAGTCCGGCTTGATGATCTCGGGGGTGATAGCGTTTGGCCCACGGCTTGAGAATGGTGCAACCTGTGGAGCTGGTGGTGCGTCAGGCCCATTGACTGTTCCAGCAAAGTAAAATTTGGCTGTTGGAGATGGTTGGGAACGAATGTAGTTTCTGATAAGGTCGCCAGCGGTCTGGTCAACCATGGTGGCAGGGAGAAGATGTGCATTAGCAATGGCCGATGGGCCGCTTTCGGCAGTGCTGGCAAGGATCATGCCGGCACCTCCGGCCTGCTTGACAGTAATTCCCTTAACGACATCGTCTAACTCACCACGGTCACAGAGGACAATTTTCCCCGCTACTCCAGAAGAAAGAGTCGATGACCGAAAGCAAAGTCTATTGCCGTAGTCTCCTGCGTAGACAAGGGGAAGTGGAGAATCGAGTGGAGGCCCAGAGTAAAGGGATATTCCTCGATAAATACTCCCGTCGCCGAGAATAACATTTGCCGGAAAGTCCCGATCAATTGTCGATGCACCCACCGTTAGGATCCAAGGCGCAACATTTCCCACAGTGGATTGAGAGAAGGTCCATTATTCCCTGCCGAGCATGAAACAATTATACCTTTGTTGACTGCTCTGAGAGTACCGATTGCCATAAGGTATTGATAATAGGGTAGTGAAATGTTTTTCCCCACCGACATTGATATCACATCAACCCCATCAACGATCGCCTGATCCAACGCTGCGAGCAAGTCGGCATCTTCACAACTTTTTAGCCAACAAGCCTTGTACATAGCTATTTTTGCCTTGGGTGCTATGCCCCTTGCAACTCCCATAGCATATCCCAAGAAACCAGCATCATTGACTGGGTATCCTGCTACTGTTGATGCAACATGGGTTCCATGGCCCACGGTGTCTTTTGGTGACTTTGATTCAACTGTTGTATTCATTGGACCATATCTGGCTTCATACGCTCTATAGAAGGCCCTTGCACCAATAACCTTCTTGTTACAGGCTGCTGCTGGGAAGTCGGAACTTGTCTCGCAGGTACCTGTCCATCTGGAGGGCACCGGCAAGAGACCATCATCAGAGAAGCTCTCGTGTCCAGGCCAAATTCCCGTATCAATGACTCCAACAATTACATCATCGCCATAGTCTGTACTTGGCCAGAGTACTGATGTGCTACTGAGTTCAAGGAAGTCAGGGGAATGGGTGGTGTGGATATGGTTTGTCTGCCCTAAGAGCACCGAGAGGACTCCCGGTAGTTTTCTAAGCTCTGTTGCTTGAGTTGATGTAAGTTGGGCAGCTAAGCCATGAATGGCATGTTCATAGGTGTACAAAATTTCGGGTTTCTTGGGCGAAGAGAAGGGAATAGAGGTGAGTAATGAAGTGTACCAATGACGGTCGCTGGTGAGGGTTGTTGGCTTCTCTGTTTTGGACACAAGAACAATGAATGTACTTGGTATCTCACTGGAAGAAGCCGTGAATATTGCATAAGCAGTGAATTGCACGAAGATAATCGCCATTAATATCTTCCTCTTCCCCATCTTCTCTCTCAAAACTTATAGTGTAGTTTGGAGCCTTGGTTATATACTTCGAGAAATCAACTGATCACGTCTTTAATTTATATAGCTAACTAGCAAGGGTGGAATGTAAATTTGGTTAGTTATGGGTTGACAAATTTGGGTTTTGACATAAGTTTGGGTTCAGGCCATGGTGGCAAAGTCATTGTCTAGAGTTAGTCTTGGTTGGCTCTTATAAACTCGACCCCAACCCATTTAAAATATGCCCCATCTTTATTTATTTATTTTGATCGATTCTATACCCATGCATGCTTCACGTAGATAGTACTGAAAAGGGGTATGGAGAGATTTAAGAGGAATAAAGATATTTAATGGGACGAGATGTTACAAATATTGATTGATGGTTGAGGGAGAGTTTATTATAACTTCTTGCTATACGTTTAATAATTTAATTTAATAATAGATAATCACATTTGTGAGAAATGAGAGGAAGAGGTCCCTGTGTAACTCATTGGCAAGAGGACCCTTAATAGGGAAGGCCAGATTTAACGAGATTTAACGTGGGAAGGGAGCTGTTACAAAATTTGACTGATGTATATACAGAGATGTTTTTAAGAAGGGTCATTTATTAAAGCACCCCTTGTATTTTCAGCTGAATGAAGAAGAGAGAACAACGGCATCCTGGGTTCTTCACCAGCAATGGCATGTCTTCCTTCTTCAAACATACAATAAAAGAATTTTTTTTTTTTTTTGTTTTCTATAGATTAAATTTGTCTGAACGGATGTTAAGGTCAAAACTGTCATTTCCCACTTACAACTAATGGAAGGTTGATTAAGTAAATTTGTTGCAAACTACAGGGAGTGTTTTAGTAAAATGTAAACTTAGGGCAAGTTTTAGTAAATCCATGAAACTATAAGGGTGTTTTAGTAAATGACCCTTTTAAGAATGATGTTATTGGAGAAAGTAATGATGGATTTTATTTAGAGACCATTATGACCAAGGAGCCCTTTTATTTTGACATTATATTTTTAGTAATTTAATTTAAGAATAAATAACCACATGTGTGAGAAAGGTGGGAAGGAGGTCCATGTGAGTTCTATGGTAGAGCTCTATTCTTGGACAAGAATAGAAGTCTGGCCAACCCAACCCACAAATTTCTCATCCTAGGCTCAAGCTTTTATGTGCAGGCCCAGCCCAAGCCCAACTTAACCCGTAATATAATATAATAGATATTATTAAATAAAATATAATATATATAATATTTTTATATTATAATACATGACCTTATGTGATTTACATATAATACATTATATTTACTTAATATTATTTACATTGTTTCCACATCATATATGTAATATATATGCATGCATATTTATTTTATATTAACTATTTATTATTTTATATAAAATACAAAATTTTTAATATATAAATATTCATGAATTGATAGTATCAACAAACGAATCAACTTAGGCACGAGTTTTGTCATCCTAGCAAGGCCTTCATTTCCATTATAAAGCAATGTGGAACTTCGAAAAATACTTAATAGTGGGTGTTACCATTAAGTGTTGCCCCAAATCCTACATTGCTAAAGTACAAGAATGGAGGCCTTTCCTTCACTTATAAAAGGCTAATCCAAACCAAGTCTTGGAATTAAATGAGGCCCATGTTTTATTTTTTATGCCATAAGCCTAAAACCTAAGCCTAGCCCCCAACTTGGGCTTGTGCAATATTTTTTATATATTTTATATACTATTTAGTTTAAATTTTTCTAAATAATTAAATTGTTATCATTAAATGTCATAGGACCAACTCTAGCCCAACCCCGCCCACGATTCCTTAAATCATCTTTCATTAGGCAAAAAAAACTTGTAAGCCTAGGTTGGCCCACGCTTAGGGTGTAGGATGGGTCGGGCCCTAGCCCATGTCAAAGGCTAGCTTTATCATTATTGCTAAACCCAGCTTGGCCCATTATCACCCTTAGTCAGAGTACTTCTCCCCTCCCCTCTTTTCTCTTTCTAATAAAGATATAGAAGCTTTGTTAAAAATTATAAGCTTCAACCTAATTGTAAATTGACCCAAGAAGCATAAAGAATGAGGTGGAATTAGGGGTGTAAATAGATCGAATTCAAATCGGACAGGCAATATCCGAATTTGATTAGATATTCGTCAGATATTGAAAATTAATATTCGAATTCGAATCTGATTAAATATTTGAATATTTGATTCGATTTGAATTTGATTAATTAATTATTTTAGATAATTAATAAGTATATAAAATAAATATTTTATTGATATAAAGTATAAATATATAAAATATTTTATATATTATATATAAGAATTAAATAATCGGTCGAATTCGAATATTTATCAAATCGAATCATGTCATATCCGAATTCGAATCCAATTAACTATTTGGTATGAATAGGATATCCGAATTCGATCGATTGGATATTCGAATTATCTGAATTTGATTCGATTATGTTAAATATCAAATTCGAAATTCGATTTTTTAAAACCATTTACACCCCTAGGTGGAATAGAGTTTCAATTATTATTATTTTTTTTTTGCTTTTTTTGGATCCTTCCCATTTCATCTGACAAGTTTAGATAAATTCCCATCCCATATGGAAAAAGAGAGGATTTTCTTCACCTCTCTTACTAGAAAAAAAAAAACATGCAAAGGCAACAAAATTTACATCGTGCATATGGTCTTCTATTTTTCTTTCGATTGTTACCGTTAATGGTATTTGCAAAGTCTCTTCAACCTTCAATGCTGTCATCTTTTTCTCCCCCTTAATTTACCATTGTTTTCTAACTTTTTCCTACTCTGCTGCTAATTAATAAAATTCTTGCCATATATATGCAACTTATGTAACATGTAATCTATAACTTATCATATAAATGCTTGAATACTAGGGCATCAAACCTAAGGTGATCACACTCTCTCAATTGTTAATATTTCTGATGAAGGAAGATTTGGCCCAACCTCGTAATCACTCAACACGTGGCAAAGGCAACAGTTCGACACAACAGTGCGCCCAAGGCGCGAGCACCAAAGGGAGGAACCAGCAGTTCGAACTCCCTACCAACAGTCCGAACTTCCTACTAGGAGCCCGAACTCCCTACAAGGAGTCCGAACTCTCCCTTAGGCCCCGAGCCTCACACAAGGCAACAACCCGAACTGGCCCACCCCATGGCAGTTCGGGACACTCCCCTATCCGAACTCAAGAATTCACCTCGCTCACCACTCCAGCACTTTGCCTCCAGGACGCCGAACTGAACAAACGTACCATACCTGACACCGAGGAGGTCCGTATCCAAGGGCGGTGCACTTGACTGACTTGGGATCTAACGCTTGACAGTCGCACTTCAACGGCCACCTGCCACCGTCATCGCCAGTCGTAGAGACGGCTCTGACAAAGAGAGCAGTGGCGGTTCTGTCCAGCAGAGGGGATGATACCTGAACTGGCAGGAGCTCAGAGATAATCATACCCGATCTGATAGAAGCCTAGAAGTGAGTGCACGAGGTGGTTATAAAAGGCTCCCTACCCCCCAAGAACAAGGGATGTGAACTTTGCGCCATTTGGTTTTATCTTGCCTTTGAGAGAATTCTAACTTGAGCTTCGGAGCAATCACACCGGGTTCCCCCCGGAGTTTCCTCATTTTCTCCGTTTCAGGTTCCCTATAGCTCCGTTCAGAGGCAAGGTCGTTGATAGCTAGGACCAGCCGGATTGTGCACCATCAATTGGCGCCGTTTGTGGGAAAGCTTCTAAAAGCCTCCATCTAAAACTCTCATAACCTCTTCTTTTTCCAAAAACCCTAACACTCATGGCTTCTTCCAGCAATGCCGGACATGGCATAAAGACGAACACCACCAGGGAACAACTCCAAGTCCCCGTGGTGTGCATCGGACAGTTCACCATCCCCCTTCCGGTGGATGGGATCCCCAACTTGAATGCGCCACTATCAGTGGCGCCCGTAAACCTTCCTGCAATGAACGTCCTTCTTCCACTCCCTATCGAAACAACTTTTGCTGAACCAACTGCTGTCCCCCTGGCGACCCGCCAGAACCAGTTTGACGACTTGATGCAATGCATGCAGGCAATGCAAGCCCAAATGCAATAATTCCAGCAGCATCAACTCCAGCAGCACCAAGTACTACACCACCTTTCTCAACATCACTATCAGCAGCAGTTCCCCCAATTACCCCTGAACCAGCCATTGCTTCCACCTCGGCACCCTGCTCCGAAGCCGGTTAAGGCCTCCCCTCAGGGTGGACGCCCTCACTGGGGAGAAGCCTCCCAACTCCAGAACACCCCTAACAACCAGGCCTCATCCCCAGGCCGAAGGGAAAGGAAAATCACCCCCGCCTCGCAGCTCGCAGGCGGGTCGGGAACCTTGCCCGCAAAGTCAGCACCTCGGCGCTCCAAGTCTGAGTTCCCGCTCACAGAGAACCGATTCAGCACCCTAGCAGTAGACTACCAACACTCCGGGCCCATCGAGCTCGGCAACACAGAGGCCAGCAGCGCCAGTACCAGGCCCACTCAACAACGAAGGCGCCGGTGAAGTCGCTGAACTACCACCCGTGTCCTGCCCGAGCTCAGAGGTAAGGAAGAGACGAGCTCGGACGAGGTAAAAGCTGCCCCAATTCTCTCGGTTCCTTCCCCCCTCGCATCGGAACTCCTGGCTGTCCCCATGCCTAGAGACTTCAAGCTCCCACCTTTGGACAAGTATGATGGGTCCTTTGAGCCCAACAACCACGTCGATGCTTTCTAGTCCCAAATGCACCTCGCTAGGGCCAGTGAATCGTGCATGTGCGTGGCCTTCACCACCACCTTCAGGGGGGTGGCCCGCACCTGGTACAAGAACCTAGCCCCTGGGTCAATAAGAAGCTGGACCCAGTTCATGCAGGTCTTCACCGCACATTTCGTTACCAGCAAGCGGTGCCCCAGAACCGAGGAAAGCATCTTCGGAGTAGTCCAGAGAGACGGAGAATCCATCC